CTCACGGTGGTAAATCTGGCAAGAAAGGCGAAGCTTTGTGTAATTGTTCTCCCCCCCCCCCTTCCGCCCGTTCGGATGTTTAGTTTTATTAGAGATTTATTAGAGCCGGGTTGATGGCCGGAGCTTAAGGCGTCAAGTATACAGTTGTCAGGTGGTACGGTTGCAGATATTATATTGTAACATATAGCATGGAAAAATTACGCAATTAGCTTGTGTACAACTGATGGTGCAGCATCGGTAACCACTCGGACTCAGCTGCGTACTAACTGTGTCCTCTGTAAATTTTGTTTTGTTTCTGGTTCGTTACGCTATTACGGGTTCCAGTATCTTTCTTTTTCTACAGTTTTCCTCTCCGAATTATTTTACCGGATTACATGGTTCTTTAGGATGCTCTGTTCTACCACCTCAGAACCTTAACCCCCTGATGTTTCGGCATCTTGTTTCTGAGTTTTTTTAGGTTCCTCCAATGTAATATTCCCACAAGTGCAGTTGAGGCGATACACAACCCAGGGATTTTTTTGTCCTACTAAGATCACTTTTTTATACAGAATATCCCGTGACTTCTGCGGGTTACGATATGTAACTGTAAAGCTGTTTTTCATAAACCGTTGTATCCTTTCACTCAGATTCCTTTAGCATGGAATAGGTGGATACCATGCAAGTTGTCTGAGAGGTAGGCAGTTAGGTAAAAACTGATTCCTTCAGTTTCCTGTTTACCTTTTCAAAATAGTCAAAGGTGAAAGATTTCGATTTTTGTTTTCCCCTGACTTACTGAGAATGTTGTTCTGCTCTTTTAAATTGGTGAGGTTCGAACATATCCACAAATTTCGTAGTTACGGAGTTTGTAAATGACCTACTTTCATAGATACTTGTGTATGACAACTGTAGTTAATGTATCTTACGATATATGAACGGTCGTTTTTAAGTCTCCTTCTTTGTGCTCTAGGACAGAAACTCAGAAACAGAAGCCTTCCATTTTCGCTTCTTCTAGTTCATCCGTGAAGTGGAACTTCTAATGGATGTTGCTCATGTGTTCCTCCAGAACTTGTCGAGCTGGTTGCGTCCATTTAGCGACAGGACCAAAGTTTAGTCTTCGTATCTGTTCCATGCACCTGGACAAAGTGTCGATGCTTCAAATGCTCTTTCTTCCAGTTGTTCCAATTATATTTTGGCAAAGAGTGGAGATATTACAGATCCCATCGTATAACTGGTATGCTGATTGTACTGCTTGTTAAGTGCCTCAAGCACAACAGAATTTAGGCATATGAAGTGGCTTTGACTGTTTCTTGTCCAGTTGGCTAGCGTGAGGAATTCTTTCTGCTTCACCGATGTTTTATGATATCCAGCGTTTCTGTGATAGGAATGTTAATGCAGAAGTAGACAATGTCAAAGCTTACCATTGTGGTAGTATTTTCTGTATGTTGTTTGTTAACTTTTTCCTTGAAATTGGCGGCATTCTCTTTGCATCTGTTGTTGTCGGATATCGGTACCTTTTTCATGATAGGGACAAACAGTCGACTGGTCGGTGCGTTGAGCACTAAACTTTGGCATGGCATATGCAGACCTTATGGATTTTCAGGCGTCAATAAAGGTACTCATCAAGGTGACTGTCCAGACTTGGTCTGGCAGTTCTAGCGACCTTTCTGATCCTATCAGTGTTTTTCGCTTCTGAGGCTCTGATTGGCTAGCTTCATGGTAATCATTAATCATTGTAGAAGTTGTGTATGTCCCTTAGTGTTCTGTTAAGTTTAATGATTTCTTCTGAATTTTGTTACAAGTGTAAATCATGCATTATCGTAGTGATAGAGTATTTTTTTACTGTTGTCATATGACTTGATAGCTTTTAAAAATGTAAAAAAATTTTGAAGTTTGTTAGATCTTCCGGAGTAGCTGCTTTGCATGATATGCTGATAAGACGGTTATTCCTGTGCAGTCAGTGCCTGGCACAGAAATTCCTTCACTTTCGGTATTTCGGTACGAGTTTTTCGCGTGGACATGTTGTACGGCCGTTGTTACACTACCGTCGTCAGTTGTGCTCCAGCAGTGGCTCTTCTCAGGCAGATCAGGTATCCGCCAAAAGGCGGAGTATCGCCATGTACGCCATTGGCGGATCCGCTTTGTTCGTTAGCATCACATTCGCCGCTGTTCCTGCTTACAAAGTTTTTTGTCAAGTAATATTTACGTTTTTTTATTTACATATTTGCATATCTGCATTGTTGTCGTTTGGTTTGAAAAGGCGTTACTTCACTTTCACGACTGGACCATTTTGGCGCCCTTTTTCATGAAGTTAATAGTGCGGAGCTGATCTCCGTTTCTATGCCATCAACCAAGATGTTTTACTTTTTTAAGGCAGGGTGTACAGCCATGTGGCAAGCGTCGTGTGTAGTCTCTTTTTACCTTCCTACACAGTTGTACTCATTTATAGATCACGGAAGGAAGAAAGGCGAGTAACCCATACCGAGGCTTGATCTTGGATCTATCGGTTTTGAGTTAACACGCTTTTACAGACTGTGCAACAACCTCGATATGAAACAGTGTGTGACAAATTCCTTGCTTAAGGAAATTCGTAAAACTAAGATTGCTCTCGACCGGAATCGGACCTGGCACTTCCAGAGTTCGAAGCATACCACTTAGACACTCTGCCAATACGCCACTGTTGTCTAATTAGCCAGTTATTTCTCCTTTCAGACCGTGCTCGGTTCTAACTGGTCAAATAATGCTAAGCCTTTTTCCGACCAAACTGTTTGCAGGGTTTGGTAGGTACTGTCGCTGGTCCCCTTCGTACTCTGCATTAATCTAGTATAGTTGTTTCTTCGATTTGCTTTACCTCTTGAAGATAAAGTCTAGCTGGCGATGGGTCTGCTGGTGGAATGAATAGATGGTGTAACATTATTTCTGAATCTCCTCCCCTCCGACCGTACTTTCAATAGCTGGATGACTGATAGCCAGATTACCATACCTCAGATTATCATCTGATTCAGAAATATGGATATTTACATCTAAGGTTGCTAACTACCTCCAGCCATGTGACAAAATGAGATCGGGAGAGGAGAAACAAGAAGGAAATAAAAGAAAAATTATTTCTGCTTTAATGACGTATACAAATCCCCCGTACAACTGTTTGAGCATGCTTGTGATACTGCTTGTAATGGAATGCTACAGTTTTTCATAATGTTCTGGTATATTGTGGCTCAGATCCATACGAACCAGATATGCTATTGTCGTTTTTTCATTTTTGACCGTAGCCAATCTACCTCGTGTGATTACTGGTTTGTTCATTTTTTCAGAAAACCGGGTTAGGAGGCGATTCTCGGACAATTCTTCGTCAATCGGAAGACATTCAACACTTGACGGTCGTAAAGGATCGACTGATAAAGGTTCAGTTTGCAGCTGACGTAAATTCAAGGATGGCCTGGAACTTTAAACCCCTGCAAGACGAGATCTTTGTAAACAAGCGAAACGTAGTACTTCCTTCGGAATAAACTTTATTCAAGGTGCATCCGGGAGAAACGGCACTGGCGTTCTATTCTGCCTTAAATCCCACTGATGTGCCGATTGTTGGTATTGCAACATACAACATTGTCCCGTTTGACGCGGCTTTATATTTTGTGAAAA